TTAAAATATGTAAACAAAACCAGTATTCCAAATATGCAACATTCAATGACTATCACCTTGTAATAAATCACACTTAACTACACCTTTTGAGCACTTAAATGTGGATAGCTGATGTACTTAGGTCAAATTGAATTCTGAATTTAAAAATGCATTCTTTGCAATAAATCCTGCATAACACCATTTAATGCTTGATAAACCCAAAACCAAACTAAAGCAAGAGAAAAAAAAAGTATTTCTGGTTTACATTGGGTAAAACTGACTTTACCAAAAAACTCAAGCTTTAGAATAAGTGACTCATGAGGCAGTCTAATTCCTAATTAATCATCAGGAGTTATCCTAATTGGTTATTTTACTTGAAACTAAAAATGATTAGACACGAGTAAGAGGAAGGTTTGTGTTGTTTAACTGCTCGGTAAAAAAACATCAAATATTCTTCCAACTCAGTTGCTTTAAGTCATTGCCTCATAAACCTAAAGGAAGAAATTTATTTTGGAAAGGCATTGAAGATAACTTAATTTTAAAAAGTTCTTAACATTCAACATATTTCCACCATTTATAACAGGGTTTAATAGTCTCATATTCTGTAAATGTTTTTCCATTTTCAGTTTCAAAGCATTACACTCTTTCAGAAAGGAACCAGAATACTAGTAGCAAAATTTCTCTAGCTTGGTTTGAGCCACATTAAGGATGTGGAGCAGCATAGAGAGAAGCTTCCATTAGCAACTGCCAGATATTGCCTTCAGTCAGTCCTTAACTAAAACAGATTACTTCTGTTTAAGAGTAGATTGACAGCCACTTAAAGTAGAGAATTCCCTTAAGTCTCAAAAGCAGAACAAAAGCACAGAATAAAGACTAAACAGGAGCCTATCACGCTCAGACACAAGTCAAAGTTTACAGAGGGATGAAGTAGAAGATCTTATTGTCAAAGGAAAAGGGCAGTAGCAACGTGTGGACAAAGATAAAGCAAAGCTTCAAGCCATGGAAAATTCAAACTTATTTCCTCTGAAGTATTTGTAGAAATTCAGGTAAAGGATTAATTCATTAGTGGCATTTTTGGAGGCCATCTAGAAGCCCTGATGAAGAACAGAAGTGTTACAGCAACGCTGACCATTGACTGTTGCTGCAAATGAAATTAAACAGCAACCCAATAGAAGATGCTGGTTCTCCAAAACAATCAACAAACGGCCTTTCATAAACCCTAACCGTTTTAGGCAATTACAGTTAAGGCTGAGTAATCTGTGAAAGAAATGGAGGCAGGGCAGTGCACAAATTCAAGATTTGTAAAACTGTAAATTCATGGCATCCGTGATGGGGTTGGAAAGAGGTTTGTGAATATAAATGAAGGAAGACTTTTATACAGGGAATGGAGGGGGCAGGAAAAAGAGAGAAAATGGGTCTAAAGGCAGACCAGGCATTTATTCCAATCCAAGAGAAGAGGATATTGTTCACATGATTATCTACACAGTAGGAAAAGAGGGAGTACAATATTGCAATAATGTGCAATATTTGAGCTAGACTAGTAAATTCAAATAGAGGATATCAAGTATAACAAATAGGTGGAAAAAAGTGCTATTAAGAGAAAGAGCTTGCAGTAAGTTGTTAAGACTCATGGAAATGAGAACTAAGATTAATGGTTTAACCCAATGTTTTGCAAGGCCAATATAAATGGCCACAGCAAGAAAGATAAGATCCAGATTTAGAACGCCTACTTTTTAGTGAACCTAGCAAAACCCATTCTTTGCACTAAGCTGTAGCAGTGGTACCCAAGGACTTAGCAAGCCACAAATATCTGCAACTAAGCTTCAAATCTGGTGTCACAATTAGCAGCAGCATATTTGGGTGTCTAGAGAACACAGACTCTGACCACGCAACTCAATTCCTAATTTTATGTGGAAGATGGTAATTGAATAAATACCCTTTGAAGGAACTGGGCCCTAGTTTCCTGCTGTAATTTACAAATATACACTGAAGGACAATATGTGTTGCCATTTAAGAGGATATGTAAAGAGGAGAAGAGGAAGGGCTCTTTAATTCTTGTTAGTCGCTTGTGACTGGTGGGTGCCAAATTCAATTCAAAAAGAAAAACAGAAGGGTAGTGTATTCAGCTACCTTCTAATGAGCTTTGCTAGCTTAATTAAGTTAAAAGTTGATTTTAAAGAGTTAGTTTTGAATACATTTATTTATAAATGTTTCTATAAAAAGTAGTCTGCAAAATGGATTCAGTAAGCATGAAATTCTTTCATGAATGTAAAAGAGTTTAAATTTTTTTTTTAAAGATCTTATCAGTGCAGAGTACCTTCAAAATCTGATGCACTATGAAGTTTGGTAAAGAAATAAATAATTCAAAATTAAAATAACTAACTAACTAACTTCATAATAAAGTTTTACAACAAAGCTTCTGGTTTCTTTGATCGGTTCAATACAGGACCAGGAATTCTGCCCCCCAGAATATTATAGTTTCTGTTGTTCATAGTTGGCTAAAATAAAACAGCAAAAAAAGAAAACTAAGTTATTATTGTATATACCTAACTTAATACCCAAAGCTCTTTAACCAAGACCTTGACCACTGAAGGCCGCAACAGTGAAAAAGTTAGCTTTCACTGAATCTAGAAAAATCATACCATTCATAGGTAGCTACATCTGCCTCTTCCCTCAAATGAAGCACTCAAATTTTTTTAAGAAGAGATCAGATGCATACCTGGAAGAATAAAAAAAATACAAGGTGGTCATCACCCTTCTGCATTTGTGTCTTAAATATCAGAATATAAATTAACAAATGTAACTGTTCATTCAGAAAAACACACCACCCTAATGATGTACCACATTGTCTATGACAACAAAGCTCTGTTCTTGTTAGGTACAATAAGCATGTTCAAGTACAAGTGCAAAGAAATCCTGAAAGAAAGAGATTTTTGCTTTAAGACTAGTCACAGCAACATTGGTTAAACACTATCAGTATCAAGGGAATAATGATTTTACTGGCAAAAACTAAAACTCTACTTACAGAATTGGTTTAGAAGCTTTATCAGCATTGACAGACAACGAGGGCCAGACTTTTACATAAAACTGACAGGAAAAAGTATTTGAACATTCTGCTTATCACTGAATTTGGAAAATGTCTAAATTTTGAATGCAACTCTTCACATGTTTAAGTTGTCCTTAGATAATTCAGCCTTTATTTTTTTGCTAAAATCTGTGTCCAACTTTAATGCTATCATGTTCAGCATTTTATCAAATATTTATGGCTAAGGCAAAAGCCACCCAGGACTACTCTTACAGTAGGCATTTTTTTAAGTGAATTTATTTCCCTGATTAATTTTATTACTATAATCAAAATTAAAATGTAGTGATATCTCAGGTAATAAACATTAACAGCAATAACCAGTTCGTGATTTATGAATACTTTCTCACCAGCAATTTGGAATGCACAAACTGCTGTCACTAGTATTGTATTAAGACCATGCTGGATTTTTATTTATTTCTTTTTTTAAAGTACAGGACTGGAGTGTCTATGCAGTCAAAGATTTGCCATCTTGAAAGCAAGAAGGATGGTAGCTCTTTCATAACTAGAACTAGACTTTATTTTCTACTATATAAAATTCTTTCCTCAGCAAAATGAGAAAATATTTTGCTGTCTAGAGCTTCATGACCGAAGTCCAAGATAGTTAACAAAATCTATTACCATCCCCCTTTAATGATGTTATGTTCCACTTCTAAATCTGGGTCAGTTACCCTTCATAAAATATTTACATGATTCAGTTCTGTTAGTATTACCTTTTTTTTTTTTAACAAACAAGATGTGTGCATCTCTGAAACGCAAGCTATGTAATAGAGTACAAAAAGCTGAATTTATCAACATTTATTACGGCTCCAAATTTAGCCGATGGCATGCATATTAATATTTTTTAGCTTGGAGATTGTTCTTTTGCTCTGTTCAACATTTATTCTGAGCAGAGTCAATATTTATAGGATTTTTAGTCCCCCTGAAAGAGAACTACAGTCAGTTACATAGTATAGCAAATCTTGGTGCACGCAATTCATTATCCCAAGGAATGTAAGAACTAGGAAATTAAAACTGCAGCCATGACATTCATTTACATCTTTGCCAGTAGCCAATCCACAACAACGTGCAGAATAAAAAGTGCCATAACTTAACTTTTGGAATTCAGGATAAAACAATGGAATGAGGTGGCAAAGAGTTGGGTCAAAGTAACACGTGTCTGATCTTAGTCATTAATGGAATTACAACCTCTCTGCGTAGGGGCAGCTCACTACTGAGACAGCAAGGATTTGGAAGTCCGGAGAATTTAATGCTCCTTATGGAAAACTCCTTCTACTGGTATTGGTTTAGGAAGTGCTACATAAACCTCAGGTTCCATGAATATTTAACTACCACAAACGGCAGTGACTACATAGTAACGTCACAAAATGGACCCAAGTTACAGCTGGAATTTTAACAATTTAAGGGGACGGATTCAAGTGTTGATAGAAAATATATTACTTCTATTTTCAATTGCAATACTTTTGAAACTAAGTTAGGAATTTAATATAAAAGAGATCTATTTACTAAACAGGTAAAGTCTACAGAACTAACTTGCAAAGCTAAAGAATTGATTGCCCTAATTTAACAGGCACAGTTTCTCTCATTACAAGTGTTTTGTTTGATTCCATATTGTTTGCCTTTTTTTTTTAAATAGTCATCCTCTCACATTTGCCTTTTACTAGTATACGACAAGGGTGTAGTTTGACTAGTTAAGTACATTTACATACCTTGCTTTTATGTCAAACAGGTATTTTGTAGCATGTCATGTTACCTCATTACTTCTACAGCTGATAGGATATGCCAGAAGCTACAGCACTTGTACAGTTTGCGTGGAGTCTTCGCCTGTTTAAAAAGGTTTCAAATCCCAAACCATAAACTTTAAACCTGACCTCAGTATTAGGTAAGCTGAAGGCCAGCTTGTTCCCATATTCTATTTTCATTATTTCTCTGCTGAAAGTGTGATAGATGTGCTGGTTGATAAGAAACAAGTTTAGGTTTCATTCAGTATGAAACAAGCCAGTAAAATCAGGAGGAACATGCAATAAAGAGACGTTTGGAAGGGAGACCCATCTAAACAGTCCTCAAAAACTTTACCTTCTCATACTACAGTAACTTTTGCAGCAGTTTATCATGAGAACAGGCATGTTATGTACAAGACAAGTGTGACGAAACCATTAGTTTGAAATTTAGCAAATGGCAAAGCCATTTGACTAGTATTGATTACAACTAAAATTATGTTTGTGATAAGAGTCTAAAAATTAAGAAATCTTTTCTAATTTTATATGCTTTGTTTATAGAAAGACTGAACAGTTCTCATGGTACATCAACAAGACAGACTAGTATGCCAGCTAAACTCTAATTTAATATTTAAATTATAACAGTACAATAACTAGAAAAAGGTCAGTGCTTTAAGTGACAATGTTTATGCCACTTCAATTCCAATATTTTTCCAAAATAAAGATGCAATTAGATCTACACTTCAGCATCAATAGTGCAATACAGTGTCCTTTCCTGAATAAAGGAGCTGAGGTTTATCCACAATAAAAGCTTTAAATAAGGTAGATCGTTGCCATATATATCAATTCTGTATGTTTGATATAAAATATATTGGGAAAGCTTAAACTGACATACAATCTACATTCAGCTAAAGCCCCACATAAGCAGCATCAATGGAAATGAACATTGGAGGTGTAATCAATATAAAACACTTTCAAAACTACTGCAAGAACAAATGACAGAAAATTGGCTAAGAATAACTGAGCATCTGTAAGGTTAACAGACAAAAGAAGAATGGACCCTCTGGTTGCTTGCACTATTTTAATTAAGTAAAAGAGAAATGTAAAGTTTAGTCCACTTCCATTTCCCCAGATGGTTTGGTTTGCTGAAAATTGTCCTTTGCTGGATCCGGTTTTGTTTCAGCACCACTCTGCCCATTCACTGGTCCATTGTGTTCACCATTAGCTTTTGCTTGGCCTTCAGAAGGAGGTTCCACCTTCGGTTTGGGTTTGTATACAATAGGGTTACAGAAACTATCCAATTCCTAATTTTACAAAAATTAAGAAAATAAAAATTAGTAGTCTGCCTTGGTAGAGAAACAGACTAAACTTGAACTCCTTGGTTCAAATTTAGTTTTGCTAGAGACATTTCAACATTTTTCTATGAGAGGCTTCAGATGGAGTTTCTTTTCACTTTTGCAGTATCTAATTCTACTTGAAGCCTTTGCAATGTAAGTTTATTGCCCAATTTTCATTTGCTGAAACACTCTGGACTGATTTCATTTAGTCTAGCCATCAGTTTTCTAGAACAGATGACTCAGTGAAGTGACTACAGTAATTTGAGATGTGTAACAATGAAGGCAATTCAGAAATATTTAATAGAACATCATAAAAAGGAAAATATGCATGTGAACACACACACGCTCTCCATTTCCCCTATTATGTCTTTCCACAGAAGTGAAAAAATCCTGCAGATTTTACACTAACACAAGGAGAAGGGTTTGCTAGCTGCATGAAAGAAATAGCCAGGTTACCTGTCCCCACCCTGTTAGGCTTCAGCCCAGTTCTGTATTCTCTTCAGAACATGACTGATATAAATATTTGTTTCCAAGTTATATTAAGGATTTTGTATATATCGTTATGCATCTTTACCTTTGATTTTCCTAGTATTTCTGCAACTTTTACAACTGGGTCCTGAGTTGGACCTAGTTTGTTCTGAGCATTCATCTTGGTGTTCAACCAACTCATAGCATCACTGATGCATTTGTCAACTTTTTCAATCTCGGCAGGATCCAAGTGATCATATTTTTCATCCTGAAGAAAAACATTTTTTTAGAAAAGAAACAGCAGAGTGAATTAATGGCACTAACCCACATAAGAATTCCATCTTATGTGGAACAACACTGCCATAGTTTGTGAGATAAATCAAGGGCAAGCAGTTTTTAAGGTACACAATATACAGGATATACATTTGATTTCTTTATGATTGAGAAGGGCCCAACTAGTTTGTATTAGTTTAAGCCAACTCTGATCTTTACGAGGAAAAAATTAAATGAGGTTTCATAAAAGTGGTTACAGAGCCTGGCTTCCTGGAATAATGCATTTATTTTAATTCAAAATAGTATAAGACTATATTAAACAAGAGCAAAATGTTATTACACAAGGAAAAACTTTTTATAAGGCTAAAGAGCAGTATTTTTAAAGGCACTTATATGATCGACTCAAGTGCCATTTTCAAAGGACTTAACAACCACTGGACATTTTACACTTAGTTAAGAGCATTTAAAAGGAATCCCATCTTGCAAATAGGGTTTTTCTACCTTATTTTTGAATGCCTCTACTGCTTTCATAAGAAGTTGGATCTTCTTTCCCAATTCATTTAAAGCTTTTGGTCTCTCTTCATGTTCCATGTACCTTTCCTGAATAGGCTGACCAAATTTCTGTAAAACAAAAAGATCTTACACAAATACTTCACAAACTGGGAAGGTGGTTAGCTGTGTTAGTCTGAATTCAGACTAGAGGTACTTTCTCAGGTGCCACCCTGCCCTAACTCGGAGAGATGAGCTTTCATAGGCAATAACCTACTTCATCATCTGCTAGCATCTAACAAAATGTTTGTTGCCTCCAGAAGCTCATGCCTCTCTGAACCACTTGATTTCAATCGTGCCACCATGCCCTACCTTCTTCAAAAACTGGGGAAAACTAAGTTCTGAAAAACTCTGAAGCCTACGATGAATTAAGATGTTTTCTCTATTTGTCACTTACTCAGTGCAAGATGGCATCTTAACTACATTCACCCTTGCTACAAGATGTTATCTAGCCCATCTCCAACAAAACCATTTGTCAACAGGTAGACAGACATAAGAAACTTGTCAAACTTCATCGGGGGCACCTGATATGATTTTTTTAGCTTATTTCAAGTAGTTATTTCTGCAACACCTTGGTTTGTGACCAGCAGCTGTAAAGTCTTTTTTTTTTTTTTTTTAAACAGATTCTCTTTTCTTTTTTTCATTAAAAACACACATCATTTAAAGAGGTTACATTAAAAGGTCTTGATTTTTCCAGTTGAGACACAACAGTCACACACCACTTCTATCTGGTTTCCTAGTAAATGCAACACAAACTCAATGCCATGGGCATTTCTCAGAATTCATTATCTGCCTGTAAGACTTCCATGAGTTAAGTACTTAGTTTCATTTTTATGAAAGTTACACAACTTGCTTAGTGTTAGAAATACAGAGGTTTCTACCCCCACTGGCACCATTAGTTAAGATTTCAATTATAGCTTTTTACTCTTAAGTAATTAAAAGGCTGACATCTGAAAACAAGGCATTATCAATTCAAACAAAAATAATGAAATCTTTGTTTTTGAGAAAACCTTTTAAAATGTACATTCCATCCAATAATTCATAGAAAGCAGTATTCCTGTGGCAAAAACCTTGCCCTGATTTACTGTTACAACAAGTGGCAAAGTGACCTGACAATCAAGGAACAAAACAGTTTTCAAATACAGCTAGAACTAGCATTAGACAACTGCTAAATCTAGACTCGATATTTTAGTCTTGTCCTTTGTGCATGACTGTATAGGAGCCATTCAGATGCAAGTATTGAGCGTCTGGTTCAAGATCTCATCAAGACTTTCAGTCACTAATAGAGTTCGCAAGTCTGCTATAGTTAATATACACACTGTTTCACCATTAGTAATCAAGCTGTTTTTTACATTATATTCTAGAAAAAGAAATCTTACTCTTAATTCCTGAAGTTTATCCATATACACTTGTTTTGGTTGGTCTTCTCCATCTTCATAAAGCCAGTTTTCTGTATCTTCGAGCATTAAGGTTAGTCTGTTTGAATCCTAAGAAACAAGTGAGGAGTAGTTCAGAGAAGACCACTCTATGGAGCTAGCAGAGTAAGTATGTGCCTTATGCAACACTTATATTCATTTTGCAACTCTGAGGCTAATTTTTTCATTTCTAGTGATCACTTAAACTCTGTGTATAAGAAAACTATCAAATTCTCTTGACAGCATACATATACTTAATTTTAAAAGAGATCAGCAAGAATTTAGACTACAGATAATTATGCAGCTAACAGCCTTCAACTGTGGAATATGGGCTTTCCAACAATATGGTTATAACAAAAAGCAGGCCAGCAACATTTGGTTTCAGATGTCTTCCTCCAAAAATTAGATACTTGCGCTTTTATTTGGTAGGAAAAGCAAGCCTTAAATCCCATTTACTTTATACCTTAAAGGGTTTTTGTGCCTCAAGGAGTTTCTTTACAGCACAATACAGAGTTCATGGGGTTGCCTGTTACATAACTAAGTAACAAATGGAACAGGCTTTACCAAACAACAGATATTAAAAGGTTAGTCCAAATAGCTGGCCTGGGAGTTATAGACAACTTGTGTAATTAGCTACTGGACAGTAACCACACTAAGTCAAGAAGCACTTTAAGTGTTGTTTCTAAGGGAATGGCTTGGAAATCCAGATGTGTCAAAATCTAGCCTGCAGTGCTATTCCATCTGAACCACTAGCCAGATTCAGCCCACAGTGCCTTCCTACCCTGGCATAGAGAGCAACTGGAAATCAAGGAGAGACAAAGAAACACTGATCCTGATCATATATTTGGACTCCAGCATAATACAGCCCTGATACCTTAGTTTTAGCCCTCTGGAAATTTTTTCTTAGCTGGACTATTTCTATTTGTCAAGAGAGGATCAAGTAATTTACTGAACTGTACAACAAATCAGTGATCTAAAGGCTAATGCAAGAAATTAATCTGAAACAGTCATTAAGTAGCAGTACTTCCGCATCTCCCACAGGCACTAGTGTTCAACACAGTCACTAGTGTTCAATACAGAGTTAGTTAAAAAGGCACATCTAGGCTCTTACTTCTTCAGTGATGAATTTTTCGAAGACTCCACACAGCTTGTCCCTAAAATCATACACATATTCTTCAACAGCATTCTTGGCATCATTTCTTTCTTTTTCTAGCTTATCTTGCATCATCATCTTCCCCTAAAAAAGATAGAAAGGCTAGGTTAAGTCTTATGCATAGTAAAGCTGTCATATTTAAAATATAATTATTATGCTTTTATTACACTGGAGGAAATATCATCTGTGAATATTTCTCCACCCCAACTTTTTATTTATTTATTTATTTATTTTTACATATAGGCACCTATGAACTCAGTTTCAATTTAATTGCAGTTTGTAGCCTTTTTGAAAATATTCTAAAACTGGGGTTGGCAACCTGTTTGGCTGAAGTACCAAACACATCCCTAACCCTGACCCACACTTCAACTTGGGAGTGCCAGGGGCAGACTGCGGGAGGCTGCGAAGGGCCCAATTCTTGTTGCTGGTGGCAGCTGCGTGTGCGTCTCCAAGTGGATGGCAGAGGAGGGGCCGGAGTTGCGCTGCCCTTGCGCTTTCTCCGCCCTACACCCCAAGGCATGCTTGTAGTTACCACTGGCAGGAAGCCAGTGCCTGGGGTCTGGAGCCTGCTGCAGCTTTTTTCAGCCTGCTGTGGCTAGGTATCTGCAGGCCAGCTGTTTGCAGCTGGGAGACTGCATATAGCTGTACCAGGCTCCAAAGCCCCAGCTGGACTGTGGCAACAGCAAGTACATGTGTGCCTTCAGGTGGACAGTGGGGCAGGAGCCTGAGGCAGCACAAATCTTGCCCCATCCCACCATCCACCTGGAGACGTGCATGCAGCCACTGCCACAGAGGACAACTAGAGCCTGGTACAGCTGTTTGCAGTCTCCTGGCCAGGCCCCGCCAGGCCTCCTGAGCTCAGTGCAGTTGTTTGTAGCCTCGCAGCTGTAGCTGGCCTGAGCTCAGGGTAGCTGCTGCCAGACAGAGCCCAGGCTACTTACAACAGGGCTTGCAGCTTCCCAGCCACCTGCTGCAAGCAGCCTGAGCTCTGTGGCAATTACCCAGAGCCTGGGCCGGCTGTGGAATGCCCAGCAAAATGGCTCAAGTGTTTACATGGCTATGTAATAACCACTAGAAGTCAATTAATGGATAACAGAAAAAGGAAGACACTACTTACATCCTGGTACTCCCCATTTTGAATAATTATTGGCAAGAATATATGGCCCTTGAAAACACAAAAGCTTTAAACAAATCTGTAATGGCACTGATTCATTTTTTGAGAAGTTAATTTTTATTTGAATAATAAATGAGGTTACAGTGATTTTAAAGTTGCCTAAATCTAAAATAATTTAAATCATAGAAACAAACAGGTTATGGATGCAACTGTTTTTGGACAGGGGGAATTCACTGCAGAAATCTGAATGCAATTAATAATAGTCAACTTAAGGTACAATGTACTTACCTCATTTTCTATGTAGCTATTAATAATATCCTGTCCCAACTGTCTATACAGACTAGCCTGTATAGGTAAATCAATGCTCTTGACCTTTGCTTTAGCTTTAGCTGTCTGTGCTGGATTATCCTGTTTGTCTCCTGATGCTGTCTGCAGAAAAAAAGACTTTCTTTAATAGAAAGGCTGCAAATACTGTCTAGTTTGTTATAATTGGATCTGTACATATCATTTAAAAAGGGAACCTGATAAAATGAACAGCCAAGAATCTATCACATTTAAACGAGTATGTCAAATGTTTCTACTGTTCAGAGACTGCTACATTAGCTTTGTACTAGCTTATCACTGATATCTATTTAAAACCCTGCCTGCTGGAAAAGAAGAATATCAGTAACAAATTTTAAATTAAAAATAATGAGATAAATACTACAACTGGGATTCAAAAAAAATTCTAACAATTCTCTGGCTTGCAGCTATCAATATCACACAGTACTTGTGGGAACTCAGCTCATATTTTAAATTAGCAATATAAAACTTGCTCAGGCATGTCTCTATACTGTAATAATTTAAATAAACTTGTTTCTGCAATTTAATACAAGTTACCAATTTTGATACAGTGAAAGAGCTGAAAAATTATTATTTTTAACTATACCATATTGGTACAAATTACTTAGTTTTGTTCTTTTCCAAGCATGCCTTTGTAACTGGTGTAATAAGAAAAAGTAAGTGGTCAATAAAAAAGCGGGGCAGGGAGAAGTGATGGCTACATAGGTTTTTGCCTGTGCACTGGCCTTCACTTTCCATTTCCCTTGATACAAACCTTTGTTTCAGCCCCTACTTGTTCAGTTTCTTCATCTGCCTGGTTCTGCTGGTCAGCCTGGTTTTTGTGATTGCCTTCCTCTTGGTCAATCTGCATGTTATCCTAAAAAGAAGTTTAATCACTGAAACAAGCTGTGCTGCAAGACGTTTTTCAACTGCAGATAACTGCTATAATCAAGAATTCATTAAGGGATATTCTTAAAAGACTCATAATGCAAGTCCCATGCGTTGATACAGCAGTCTCCTTTATCTAATTTCAGAAAAGCCTACAAAGTTCATAGGTGAAAGTATTCTGAAATTGGCAGTTACCAGACTGGTCTTTGATATGCCTTGTGACAGTTATAGCAGGTACGCCACTTGCTACATAGTCTATTTTAAAGACAGTATGTGATGTATGGCTAGTTCCATTCTAGATGCACAACACTGACACTGACAGGAGGAACATATCCTGTTCGGAAGTCAGAGCTACAGTCAAATATAATACACCATCACAAATATGAAATCTAACTGCAAGAAATTTCCACTGACTTGTGCCTAATCCAGAATTCTGGAAACTAGTTTCCAATGTTATCAGTCCCCTGATGGAACTTTTAGGTGTATGAAAAGTCACAGCATGGTAAGTCCATGGTATGATATGAAAAATAAGTCTTACATTCCATAAATTATTTTGATAATTTTTAAAATATATTACAGCTATTTTTAGACAAGATTATAAAAAGTTACTGACATATTACTGAAAGTTTGGGAGTGGGGCAGTCTAGCTGAAAATCTAATGTTATTTTAATTTTAAAAAAATGGAATTAGTCTACGGTAACAGGCTTATGTTTAGTTCACCCAGTCCTTACTTTAAGTGTTAAGACTTAGAAATAGACCACTATTTGTCATCACTTAAGTCTATTTGGAGAGGGTCCAAACAAGAGCCAATCGTCTGATTGGAGACCTGCAGGGAAGGCCCTATGAGGAAAGGCTAACGGACCTTACTTAACCTTCTCAGCCTCTCCAAGAGAAGTTTGAGAGGGGACCTTGTGGCAGTGTACAAATTCATAAGGGGGAGAGCAACACAAAGTAGGCGATGATCTGTTTACCAGGGCACCCCCTGGAACAACAAGGAAGAATGGCCATAAGCTACTGGAGAGTAAATTTAGATTAGACATTAGAAAAAAATTCTTCATGGTCAGGATTGCGAGGATCTGGAATGGGCTTCCAAGGGAGGTGGTGCTCACCCCATCCTTGGGGGTCTTCAAGAGGAGACTGGACAAGCACCTGGCCGGGATCACATGATCCTAGGTTTGGTGACCCTTTACTTGCCTGCCAGGGGCAGGGGGGTTGGACTAGATGGCCCACTGAGGTCTCTTCCGACTCTAGAATCTATGAATCTATCAAACCAGTATCTGGCTGGTCTGTCCGAAAGCTTGTGGAGGTTGAGATTTATATTTCCTGCTTCTGAGCTGCCAGGAACCTCACCCATTTTCAAGGAAAGGAAGAAGGAGGATTCAGGGAATTGTAGAGCAATCAGTGTGATCTCACTACATAAACATATTATAGAGCAGGTCATCAAGGAATGTCTTGTTAGTCTAAGAAAATACAATCTACATTCTCTTCCCAACCAGCGTGCTGCAATATCCATTTAACGGTTTTGCAGGCTGCCACATAATATTTGCACTAAGTATGCAAACATGCACATGTGATTAAAAAAAAATATAAACTCAGAGATTTCAAAGAGGAATCCAGTGTCAAAAACATGCTGACAAGTTGCGTTTTTTCTGGGTTCTCTTCAACAGAATAACTATTTTTCCACAGTCAAAAAAAAGACAAAGTAAAAGTTAGCATTTTCTGAGGGGTGCCTTGGGTCTAAGAAGTTTGAGAACCACGGGTCTAGATATACAGGAAAGCCTCCTTAGTTTGATCATGGATAGTTTAAATTATTGGATACTTCAAAGTTATTGTCACTCCCCAGCTAAAAGGATAGGGGTTTTTTGTATTGCTTTACAATATGGACAATTTGTAATATGGCTGCTTTGAAATTCAGTGCCTTTTTCGATTCCCTAGTACAGGAAAACCTTGTTAATTCAAAACACAAGACCAAAACACACCAACTTTGAAATACACATAACCATAATAATGTGCATATATACAGTGTAACATCACAGACATAGTTCACCCACTTGCAGACCTTACTAAATGATAAGAAAAAAGTGAGGCATTATCCCAGTGACTAAGCAAGTAGATTTCATGGCATGTAGCACAAGTAGTTCCTAATGTAGAGCTGAAGCAATGATTTACAGGCCCTTTTTCCTCGTTAGGTCCATCCAAGTGCCAAAACGTCCTGCCAATCAACCCCAACCCTGATCCTGCCACAGTCCACTGCAGAACCACCGTCCTTGGTCCTGTCAAACTGCCTTGGATCAGGGCCAGTTTAGCAGGATCTGGGGTTGACTCTTTATCCCACCAGCCAATGCCATCAACCCCCAACTGCAACAAGCTACTCCCAATCCTAACTGGGGGTGGTTTGGCAGGACAGTTTGGCACTCAGATTGCCCTAACAAGACAAAAAAGGGCCCCTAAATCATTTTAAAACTTATTTATTTTGAGTTCAGTATTTTTGGTGCCATTTGTTTTGAATTAACAACCTTTTCCTTTAAGTACCGTAAGGTGGTTATACAGCCATTTAGATCATCAGCTTAAAGAGTAGTCACCAGTGGCCTGATATCTAATTGGAAGCAGAACCCAATAATCCAAAAGCTAATAATAATAATAATTACTGTGGAAGAAATCAAAACTATTTAGGTCAGGAAGTCCCTTCTAAACTAGTTAGAACCTTATCCTGTACAATTTAAACTCCAATAAGTTCAGAAGTAAGGGTAAAGAAATATGAAGAAGGCCATAGTGATATATGTTGTGAAAAACTAAAGATCCAGGGAGGATTAAATGAAGTTGGCAAATAAGGTGTTTGTTTTCCCAATAGTTGATTATATCAGTAGAAGACTCATAGGGATTTAAGGCAGTAAAAGCAAGAATTAGTCTAAGGTAATACAGAAAGAAGTATAAAAACTCTCTATTGTATGCTTCCTGGCATCCATTGGAGATTCTTTTTGGGGATAGATCAGTGATTCTCAGCCAGGGTGCCCCAGCAGATCCTTTCAAGGGTAACAGATCTACATGATAAACCTACAGAATCCAGTGTTAAAAACATATTGCCCTGTTGTGGTCTTACTGAATTCTTTGCAACAGATGAATTTTTATTTTTGCGTAGTCAAAAAAAATAAGTGAAAACTAAGAGCTGGCATTCCACAGGATGCCTCAAGTCTATCAAGAGATGCCTTAAGTCTAAAAAGGCTGAGAACCTCTGTATCAAAAGATACATTTGCAAAGGCTGACTGTAGATTGACAAAAACAAAAAAGGCAAAAAATGGAATAGGAGTTGTTTCAAGATAACACAAATAGTTTGTGGTACACCTTCTCCAAGTAACCATAGCAGAAGTAAGGAGTTATGCCTGTCTACTAGGGGTGTGTGAAGCAGGCCCTATTCGATTTGGATTCGGCCCGAATCAGGGAGAGTGATTTGATTAGTTGGTTCAGATCTCCTGTCCCTGATTCAATTCAGCTGAATCCTAATCTGAAGATTTGATGCTGATTGGGAGAATCAGTGATTTAGACACAGACCCAGCTTTAAAAAATTTTTCTACATACCTTGAGATGCCAGCGCAGCTTGTGATCGCTGTGATGCTGGGGCACACGGTGCATCCCACAGCAATGTGGGGGACCCTCCACGTGCTCAGCAGGAAACCTGGAAGCGGACTGGAAGTACTTCCGGTCCACTTCCAAGTCTGCCAGGGAGCGCGCTGGAGTGCCCCCCTGTGCCTTGGCAATCAGCTGCAGGGGGACCCCAGATGCCACCCAGACCCAGAAGACAAGTCACCGAGTCAGGGGAGCACGGGGGGGCCCCTCTGCACGCTCCCCAGTGGAGCTGGCAGTGGACCGGAAGTGCTTCTGGTCCACTACTGGGTCTGCTGCCATGTGCACTGGGGAGCACCCCATATTTCTGTGGAACACTCCATGTGCCCCAGCATCACAGGACTCACAAGCCCCTTCTACCCAGAGGTATGTAGAAAAAACAATGAAAGCTGTCTCTACATCCAAATCTTTCCAAATTGATTCAGAGGGTTCCAATTCGATTCGGAAAGATAAAAGGGACTCTTGATTCGATTCAGATTTGGCCGCCAAATCTCCATTGAATCGAATCAGGGACCGAAGCTTCATACAGCCCTACTGTCCACCGTTTCATAATGGCACCACAATACCAAAATATACTCAGTATCATAACAATCCTCCCTTTCTCTTTGAGTTGTCACGCAGGGTGGTATACCCATAAGGGGAAAAGCTGAGGTGGAAACTAATGTGAGCTGACAACAAAGTATTATAGGGATGTTATCAGTAAAGTCAGATATTTACAATTTAATTTCTCAGGATCAAAGTTTTGCAGTTTTACATACCAGTTCATCTTCTTTGCGTTGATTCTTACATGCTGATTCTGTGTCCATGGGTACATCATTGGGGTCCCCTTCTATGCTTTGCTTCTCTATTATAGATGCATTAGCCACACTGAAGATGCCATGGATATTGACACGTACTTTAACCTTCACTTTGGAATTGTCACCATCATGCTGGGGACCAACATTCTGAATAGTGAAACGCCCTAGGCAAGCAACATAAGAATCTAAGGTTAAGTTTAAAAGGCCAGTCATTCCACAAAAGATTCTGCCAGTCAACAACTGGAACAGTTTTTGGATTTGTACATTTCAAATTAATGGCAGGAAATAAAAGTCTGACTGTTGGACACACAAATATTATCAAAGATGCATCATATATTGCATTAATCATGTAACAGCTTAATGATCCAATTCACTGTGTGCAGAAGAGTTAATACTGCAATATATTATAATATTTTTAGAGAGAAAGGAATGAAGAGCTGCATTCCTATGCGACTGTAAAGCCACAGTGTTCTGACCTCTATTTGCATAATATTGTTGCTCAGCTGTGTTTTCTGAAACGTAATAGATTGACTATACTCATCTGTAATTCTATACTTCCAGTCTTTACCATGTTACAACTCCAGTTCCATAGTCAATAGCACAGCATATTGACACATTAGTTTTTAGTAGCTTATTTTGTATTATTTTCTCTTTTCATAAATGCCACAATAACCCATGGGAAGTTTAATATCAGCTGCTTTATTTGTGCACTAGTACTCTGAATTAATATTTCCGATCTCAATCTACCCTACCAAAAGGCTAAGCAGATTTTTTCTCAGACTTTCACACCCATTGTTTATATTAGATTTACAAAATCAGTTTAAATGCTCTCTATTACACATGGATATAGTTGCTTCAAATAGTTCCAATGACCGCAATTATGCCAAAAAGGGTCATCAACCACAAATGAACAGAGCTGGATCTTACAGCTGCTGGGATTAATACTATCTGTATGAGACAAATGCTACCTATTTTCAGGACATTATCTGTTTGCCTGTTTTGTTTTGGCTTTTCTTCTTCTCTTGGAGTGAATGTTTGACAGGGTTTGCATTCACAGCTCTGTAAGAGTGATTTACTTTAGGTGGGATTGGTTTAGCGAAGTGAACAGTGGAGCTATAGAATCTGCTGTAGGAGGGAGCTAGAGAGTAGGACACCATCATGTGTCTGTGGATGCTCAGGTTTAAATGGTCAGTGGGTTTTCTTCTTCCCCACCCTCTTTTTTAAAGTCCAGGTATCCTCTAGGGAACAAAGGAGGCATAACTGGAAACTGGGTCAGCAGTTGTGATCTGTGTGAGACGTGCCATGTTTGTGTTCCTCCCCAAAGGTCAAAACCATTTAATCTGTACCAAGTATAGGCTGATGTCTACCTTGAAGGAAAAGACTGAATGGGCTGGAAGTACAAATAGCCAGTGTGCCGTCAAGGAAAACAAAGATTTCTTAGACAGTAGTTATTAAGAAGCTGGCACTGGAGAGGCCAAAGGGAAAAGAGAAGTGACAGCATATGATTACTAGAAAGAGGGTCCCCAGATTTCAAGAGAAGCAGACTGAAGTCAGCAGCCACTTTCAAGAGCTCTGTGGTGGAACAGCTGAAGACATCAGCAGGCAAGACCTAGAGGACAGAGCAGTCTAGATTAGAGGTGCTCAACCTCTAGCCTGTGGGCCAAATCTGGCACACAAAGTCTTGACACCCAGCTTGACGGGATCCCAGACTGGATGAAATTGGCAGCTGGAAAGCAGGGAAGCGCCACGCTGCATGGTCCAGCCCTACCCAGGCCATTGCCATGCAGCAAAATAGGGCTAGGCCTGCCCCCCTGCATATCCAGGTGGGGCTGGGCTGCTCTCTCTGCCCTCCAAACATCTGGATAGGGGCTGCTCCACCCTGCCCATCCCCCAGCATCTGAATCAGGGTTGCTCTGTTCCCTCCCTTCTCTTCCACCTCAGGTCTGGATTGAAGCTGCTCCACCCTGCCCCACATGTCCAGATCAGGGCTGTGCTGCTCCTCACCCTGGCGCATCTGGATTGGAGCCATCCATCCCCCACCCCTGCATCAGGATTGGGGTCCTCCCCCCTGCGACGCATCTGGATCAGGACCAAGCTGCTCCCCTCCCTCAGCAGACTGATCGGGGTCCAGTTGTGCTCTCCCCTGCAGCAGGATGGGGCTCCTGCACCAGTCCTAAGTACTGGCTGGATCAAGCCTGCCAGCCAGATCCAGCATGCTGAACCCGATGCTACCCATCCTCAGACCACTACCCCTTCCTCCTCCTCTATGGAGGCATACTGCCAGAAATGACTCTGAGCAGATCAGAAGAGACTACAAGGGTCTTAGCAGGAGGATTAAGTATAGAGCACAAGTGGTGTTCTCATAAATCCTCTCCACATAAGGAGTACCCAGGCAGGGACCACGGTATCACAGAAGTAAACAAATGGCTGAGATTATGGTGTCAATGTTGATGAATCCAAAGACTCCAATGGATGTCCTGGGAAGGAAGACTGCTATGGAGAGACAAGAGCCACCTAGCCAGACATAGACAGAGCATCTTTGGCTATCTGGCCAACCTAGCAAGGAAGGCTTTAAAACTAGGTTCAACAGGTGATGGTGAACAAAACTCTCCAGCAACAGAGCAAACAATCCAGATGGGAAAGGACTGGAAGCAGCAGCTCACCTCTGGGAAATGGCCAGAGAGCCACAGGACAGCAACAAGTGACACAAAAGGGAAACATGCAAGGCAGAACACAAAATAAATCAAAAGTTTGTACACTTTTGAAAGAGGTATGCAAACAAACAAGCATGCAAATATGTAAACAAGATGAGCTGCAAGTCAGCCTGTGAAAAGAACTATGATTTGACTGGTATCACAGAGACCTAATGGGCAGTTTGTATGACTGGAACGTCAACATTGGAGAGCTACACATGGTTTTGGAAGGACAGGGTTGAGAGAAAAAAGTGGTAGTGTTGCCTTAAATGTCAAAAATGTATACACGTGTTCTTTGGTTCAGGAGGAAGACAGTAGCAAAACTGGAATTTGTGCGTGTGAATCTAAAGAAGTAAAAGATACAGCACAGATATAATCTGTGTGGAGGACAACTTGCTGTTCCAGAAGACTGCAGATCTAAGTAGGGGATCAGCTATTTTAGATCTTGTCCTGACAAACAGGGAAAAGTTGGTGGAAGATGTGAAGGTGATGGGAAAACTTGGGAGGAAACTATCATGATACAGCTTTTTCCATTTCAGTTCCACTGATACTGGTTCAGATCCCATAAAGTGCAGGAATCAAAACTAGTCAGTAACTTTATTAACAAGCTATTCTAACTAAGGCACTAAGGCTTGATGGGGGTGGGTCAGGAACCATAAGACCTCTTAAGCATGCACTGCCACAAGAAGGTTCTACCTGCAGTAACATAATTCCAACACCTGCTTTAAGTGAAAATATCCAATCTCTCTCTCAAAGAACTACAAATTTCATCTTATGTAACGTACGTCTTATGGATACCAAAACATCTGGCTCAGTGACTCATCTTACAAAGTGGAGGGGGTATGTGTGTGTTTTCCCAGCCTGCCACACCCCCCCCCCCCCCGGG